CTGTGGGTGCCCCCGCCCTCTGGAACGAACTACCCCCCGAGATCCGGATGATTCCGGATCTCCTTACTTTCCGCCGCGCCCTCAAGACATGGCTTTTCCAGCAAGCAGGCCTGGCCTAGGGAGGATTTTAAATTGGGTTCATTTTTTAGAAAATTTTAAACAGCACAACTCTAAAATATTTGGTTTTAATTGGTTTTATCTGGTGGGGATTGTGGGTATGTTTCTGTTTTAAATATGTTGTGAGCCGCCCTGAGTCCCGTTTGGGAGAAGGGCGGGATATAAATCAAAAATAAAGTAAAGTAAAGTAAAGTATATGTGATACAGTATCCTAAGTTAAAACAATGCTTGTAGGTAGGCGATATGTGTATATCAAAATGAAAACAGATTTATCAAGAACACTATGCAAATGAGACGTTTCTCTTAATTCAAATTTTCAGTGACTTATAGGCTCACTTCCCACTATCAATTTATCTTTCGTCTGCATATATACTGCAAGTCTGAGAAAGAATATCACATATACAACAAGACTGTGACCCGTTAAAATGTATTCTGTCACTGATTCACTCCAACCTGATCTTTGAGGGCTTATTTGAAAGAAAATTCATGACCTTAATAAAATTCATAAACATTGTAAACAGGGCTCGCTTTGGGCTAGGGTCAAAGGTTGGGGACCTCTGTTCTACACCATGTGTGATCAGAGCAGAGGGCAAATGTTTAGAATCTTCTGTGTAGCCAGAAGAAAAAGATATCATGTCTTTAAATGTTTTTGCTGTAGTTATGTAGGGACAGAAGAGGGCATTTTAGGACATGATCTAAACAGTTAGTGAATAGTTGAGCTGGCAAACCGTTCCCAAAGACCCCTGCCAGCTGGAATGGCTTCAGAAGATCTTTGGAGATTCAGCTGCACACTCATAGCACCAATGTCTTGCTTTTACAAGCATAAATGAAGTAAAACAGAAAACACAGCAAACAAAATGTTCTTCTTACAGCAAGGATTTTGTGAGGAGAGCTGGCCCCATTCCCATCGGTTGGAGCCAAAGCTTATGATCTGGCTTCTCAAGTATGCAACAGATTTCTAAGTACAGAAATACATTGTCTTCTGCATCCTATGGTCCCACAAGGTCTAGGACAGTGGTGGTGAACCTATGGCACGCGTGCCAGAGAGGGCACTCAGAGCCCTCTCTGTGGGCAGCGCGCCGTTGCCCCAGCCCTGCCTCCCCCCCGTGGCCCCCTCCTCACCAGCAGCCCCCCCAGAAGAGAGTCACCCCTGGGCACGGCCCGTGCGGAGAGCGCAGCCAAGGACATGGCAGCCGGGCATCAGGGACAAGACTCCACCCTTGTGCCCCGTC